AACATAACTGTTTTAGTTTGGTAAATACAACAGTACTAGCAGTGGTTTTTATGGTCAGCACTTAGCAAAATTGACTGTGTAGGATGATACCGTTTTTAAGAGTGGAGTGGAAAGGCTATTTGATGCAAAACAAAATGAATGGGGAGGTAAATGGTTTTAATGTTAATACCTGTTTCAGTGTGGTTTAATGAAGAAGTTGACTTCTTCTCATGGAAGAAGTCAAAGTGGTCTCACATGCACTAATTTAAAGTATTCTGGACAAGATTATAGAAAAAAACCTGGGAGGAATCTGGCTTCTGAAGAACATTTAATAATCCAGTGACTTTCTCATTTTCAAAATGCTTTGGCTGAAGTCAGAAGGTCTTTTTAAGGGGGTGCTTTTTTGGGCAGTCTTAACAGCTTAGCTTAAATAGTTCCCAAACAGTTCTCACCTATCATTAAAAACAAAAATCAATTAATTGGAAGGTGTTGCAGATCCTTGTCTAACCTTTGTTTATATTTACTTGCATTTCAGATAAGTGACACAGTGCTAAACGATGACGACATTGGGGATAGTTGCCATGAAGGCTTTCTGCTCAAGTATGAACTTCAGTTTTGATTTATGCTGTAGTAAAATGGTTTAAACTCGTGTGTGCATATATATATATATAACTGCCTGTATGCACGTGTGAATATGTATCAGATTAGAAAGGGGGAGGATGACATGTATTTGGCTTTTTGAGATTTTTGTCTAAAATGCAGTAGAAGTTGCTGTCTTTTTAGAAGAATGGCTCTGGGTTAATAGCTGCATCTCTATAGACTGTGTTGTCACAGAGTCATTTGCTTGATAATAGAATCCCTACCAAATGTAATTTTTCTTTGATACTTACGTTTAATTTTATGAGGATATAAGTCAAAGTCTTACATTTTTATGAAATACCTAAAAAACTGGGTTGTGTTTACTGCATAAACGATGAATAAGTGTCATTAATGATATGGTGTACGGAACCCTTATTACTAAATTGCATGTTTTTCTTTTTCCTTCCTGTTTTTAATGTGTAAGTGGAAGTAGTTGCACTTGAGAGCAACTTGGCCTTTTCCTGTGGGAAAGCGTATTTCATAGATTTTAACTGATGTTCTGTTACCTGTCAGAACATCTCTGGTGTAACTGCATTCATTTATGTAGTGCTTAGTGCCATCTATTTACACAGAGTCACATACACTTTCAGTACTACCGAAATTCATGTGCTAAATTAACTAATTCTTCACAATAATGTAGTATTTAGTTCCATAGAGGATTTGGGAAATAATGAAGTGAATACCATGGAATGGATTATTGTGAACAACTAGAGCCATTGATCCTACAATGATGAGCTGTTCTCATACCAAATGGAGATTTATTGGGCAGGTAGTAGACTGTAGGGTGTCAGTTAGCTCTTCTTGCTACTTCTCCCTGGAAATTTTGTCCTGAAAAAAAAAAAGAATTGCCCGTTTGTGTGAAGGGTCCAAATGCCTGCTTTTTAGCTTATCTGCAAAGCTTATCAGCTCGCCTAGGTTCAGATTTCAAGTCTTAAATATAATGTTGTATGGATTTATTTATACTTGTCATTGAATAAAAATTAGATTAAACTAAATAAACTGCCATACCAACAGTACCAACCTCTAAAATAAGCAACCATGCTTTCTTAGTAATTTCTAAATGAAACTGAACATCTATTTCTGCCCCAAAGGAAGAATTCCTAAGTATGCAGATGGCCTTAAATTTAACTCTTAGAATATACTTGATAAGATAAATAGTAGCAGGTCCACTATAAAGTCCACCTGTAGGATTTCAGAGTCTGAGTGTAGCTATTACAGTCATTGTCAATTAGGGGTGTTTATTAGAACTGGTTAATCATATACAATGCATCCTTCAGTAAGATAGCATAAATGCACTTTTGTATATTCACGGATATGGGACAAAATTTTTTAATAGTATCTAGACTTTCTAGGGTGTCTAGACTTTTTGAATCTGTGGGCCAGGTGTTGTTTGAGAAAGTGCGGGGGGGAAAGGGAGGATGAGGATAAGAAACCTCAACAGAATTTTCTTAAGGGCAACTTAAGAGTTCTCAAGGTTAGTCCAGGTATATTCACTGCAGCCTCCAAACTTAAGATAAACTAAATCAGATCTGTGCTGCTGGCAACTCACAAGACCAGATCACTCAACTTCCAGTATGCCTGTCTGTATTCTGAGGGACTCAAGCTTGTGACATGCTCTTGCCCATGTAGTTACCAAAAGTAGAACAGTTTACCTGCCAAGTGTCCCAAACTGGCTTCTGATCCACAGTTTCAGAAAATGATGACAACCATGGAACAGATCTTTCAAGATGCTTTCAAATCCTTCATTATTGATATGTCTTCGGTTACTTTAGATTAATTATTTTATACAGATTCTGTAACACAGTTAGACAGTAGCAGTAGACAGTTTTTGTTTGCTCTGTAACTGGTGTTTGGAGGTTCTGAGTGACAGTCTTTTTATTCATCAAAATGAAAATGTAGATACTGTCAAATTTTTGGATTTCAGCGGTAACCTACGCAGCTGTGTGAGGTCCTATGGGTATAGGCCTATAGGTATGGGCCTCTATTTATACTAGGAGCACTTCATTCTTCTTGTGAAGATGATAATTGTTTTATTTGAAAAGTCTGATTAAACATATTAACCTATGTTTGTTTTTATTTGCAGTGCAATTAGTTCACACCTGCAGACCTGTGGTTGTTCTGTAGTTGTAGGAAGCAGCGCAGAAAAAGTGAATAAGGTAATGCACTTTCTAATACACCAAACTTAAATGCTGATTGTTAGCAATGTTAGTGTGTTATTTGGAACGAGGTTTATCTGTAAACATACTTGAGGTTGAAGAAAGAAGGAATACCATTGTCTGGTTATCTTACTTCAGCTGATTGGTCTAGCAGTTGATAATTCTGCCTGAAAATTGCCTTATCGGTTGTATTCTGGCAACTATAAGAAAACCAATTTATTTAATTTAATTGATACTGTATATAAACCAGTAGTAAATGAGTCTGAGCTTTTAAAATTAGGTTTGTTAGCTAAAATGTACAAATTGAAGAGGTCTGAACTGGCTTGCCCAGTTCAGCTATGTCAATGGGTATTGTCCATGTACTCTTAAGAAATTAGTATCTGCATAATTTCTCTTACGCTGGGGAATAAATGTACTTCTGCATCATGAACTGCTTGTGTTTCATGGAACCTCAAAGCTGTTGAGTCTGTAGTCACACACACAGGCAAGCTTACCGGGACCTTAAACCATTCCAGCAATTCCAGCATTTTTTTCTTCATAGCGTTTGTGTTGGCTTCATCTCCAGTCTGTTTAAAACTTAATTGGTGAATAAGTGTACAGTTTACTGGTAGTTCTTAAATCAGGTTTGACTCAGCTTTCCAGAAGAACCAGAAAGAGGCAAAGTACAAACCCCTAAAACTGAGTCCTATAACAACAAAACACTCAGTGTGTCATGCTTGCTGGAGCACATCAGTAGGGATGATGTTTAGGAGCTTTCAGGTCTAGAAACAAGAAGCAGCATTAGCTGTACCTCTTAACGGGGAAGAGCATATACATCATTATGGTCTATTTGGGAGGAAAAAAGGTCACTTTTGGAAGGTGTCATTTCAGAACAAGAAAATAATTACATTTTTGTGGTAGACATTTTTTTCCCATGCTGTTATTAACTCTTGTAAGCTTGTTATGAAATATTTAATTTGAACCAATATGAAACTATCACCTGCACTGCTTTTCCTCTAATATTCTGGTGTAAATGGAGAGTTTCTTGATGCTTATTTTAAGCTCACCCAGTATGTGAAGGAAAAATCACATGAGGATGTTTTCCTTATTCAGAATTCTCCAAGTGCTTTTTTTATATACAGCTTTTTGATTATACCAAAATGCTAGTTTCAGATAAATTGAAAGCAATTCCTGGAAGAGATACACTTCTGTTTACTGTCCATTGAAATATTTCTTAAAGCATATTTCTTTTTAGCATAGTGCAATGTATCAGTGTTTTGTTCAGAGAGATTTCCCTTTGACTTGCATTCAATTAGGGTGTTACTCCATCCCTTCTAATAAAAACACTGACATTAATTTTCAGTTAGGATATTCAGAGACAAATGATGAAGAAAACTGTTGTTTTCTTCGTGAGAAAATGTATTTCACTAAACCAATTGCCTCTCTACTTTCACAGCTGAGTCCTTTAATAAACCTCTTTGATTCAGAATATCCCTGCAACTGGGAATGAAAAGAAGGGTTTCATAAAAGTGTGCAGTCCTAGAGCCTTCAGGTATTAGGTGCCACTGCACTTAATGAGTATACCAGTACTGCTGCGAGGGTAAGGTTCTGTGTAGTTGTGTAGCATTATAAGTTTTCAATTTACACTGGGGCCCCTGGACCATGCAATAACAATAGTCCCATGTCCTGAGACCATGACAAAGGTCCTACAGTGGTATATGTGGAGAAGCAGTATGTTCAGATAACTTCATTTTCTGACAGGGAATGTTTTTTTTATATAGGGCTTTTCTGTCTGATTATGTTTTTAATTGTGATGTACTAATTATTCAGCTCTGGTTTATTTTGTAACACTGAAACCTTCTTTTTTGAGGAAAAACTCGTTTTAATTCTCAATGTTGATGCCCTTTTTGATATACCTATGTATGTATCTGTGTGTATTGCTTCAATGTGAAATAAAGATTAAGAGCAGTGGGCCTGCTGAATATATTATATATTAATAGTAGGCTATACATATATTATGTATTTTACAGTATGTCGTGCTCCTTGCTGCAGTGAAATATGACAGTCGTCTTTTTAAAAAATTCAAGGCACCTTTAGTAAACCTGTGTTTTGAGATAAGCAGTTCGTGATGCTTTATAAAAATTGGGGGGAGGATGCATTGTTTTGTGTGTATTGGCAGTGACGGCAGAGCACCTCTGATCAAGTGAACAGTAAATGCTGATACTCAAATTAAAAATAATCACGAGCAACAGGGGAACCAGAGAAAAGAAAGTTCTCAGTTCTTAGCTGAAATCAGCTAACCACAGTTAATATGTATTGTTTCAGGGATGTAAGATCTGCACATGATTAAGTTAGCATAATAGAGGAAATGTTGAAGGTTTAAGTGGTTATAAAAAGCTTAAAGTTTATAGTTCATAAAATAATTAATTAAAAGGCTTTAAGGTCTAAATGGTTATGAGCGTGTATAATAATGTATTGATAAGCTAGGCACTATAGGAAAAAAACAGTCTGGAAGAATATGAGTCTCAAGATACATCCAGGGTAAAGTTTGTAAATTCTGCACAGGTTCTTAGCAGCAGTGTGCTCTTTGTGTCACAGTGTAATTGTTCTGAAGTAATTGTTTTCTTTATGGCATACTTTAGCTTTTCTTAAAGTAAAAAAAAACACCTATTGCATCTTGCTGAAGTGTCAAAAAGCATTAGTCAGAAACTAGGTTGTCATTCTTTTACATACTGCATAAACACTGTGCAAGAATAGAGCCTTCTCAAACACCTTACAGACACAGGTAGGACACCGCAGGTTAAGACTGAAAGATTAGCAGAATGGAATACATCTTGTATTTGGAGATGATTACTTGTAGCTGTTGCAGCACAGGAGTTTGAAAATGGATAATGAAGTACCTTTGTTGCTTTTAATGGAGAGTTTGAGGAAGTTACTGAGGAAATAAGCATGGATGCTTATATAGGAAATTGACTATGCCTGATTGGAGACAATAGCTGATGTTTCAATATGGAATGAATAAAATAAGAGGCTTAAAAGGCTAGGCGAGTAATTGCAGTAACTCATGTTTATGTAATAGGAAGAGGTAGCAGAAGGCAATAGTGATTTGTTCTACATAGTTGGCTAAAAAACAAATTTTGCCAAAAAGTGTTGGATTTTTTTCTCATTTGACAAGGAGTTGGAGTAATATGGCTTACAGCTTAATAATTTAAGCATGTCACTATTCTGTGACCTTGGTAAAGTTTTGGCTTTTCTAATAAGCATGATGAACTTTTTTGTTCATCATTTGAAATGCATAGTACATTCTAGTCAGAAATTGCATTTGAAAATCAGTCATTCCTTACATTTCCATGTTTTTCAAAACTGTTCTTTTTAATGCAGATTGTGAGAACATTGTGTCTGTTTCTTACGCCGTCAGAACGGAAGTGTTCTAGACTCTGTAGAAGTGAGTCGTCTTTCAAATATGAGTCAGGACTTTTTGTTCAAGGCTTACTCAAAGTAAGTACGCTTAGGAAAGTTCTATTCTTCTGTAGTTTAAGAAAATTCTTCAATGTATGGTCATGAACATGAACACATTCATGTTCAAAGAAATACCTCATCTTCCCTTGATTCCTTTCTGGCACTATAGCTTTCCTTGTAACTATCTGCATGTTAAAATTGCAAGCCAGTCTTTTCTCTACAACATCTGTTCCTTGAGTATTGTCCAGAATTGTTCCTATGCTTTGAGGTACAATAATAATAGTCTTTTGCCTACCGGGGGCTGGAATCCTAAAAGTCATTAAGTTTTTGTGTTGTACCAAAACCAAAAAAGAACAGTCCATCAGTCCTACAGTTCCCAAGTATTTTAAAAGGGCTGTAGCAATGGGTGAAGATGAATAGAAAAATAATGCTTCTGCTCTAACGAGCAATCTAAACTTATCAGATAAATATAATACTGTAATGTTAATGGGCTCATGAACCAGATGATGCAATACTGTAATATGCAGGTTACCTCAGTACCTGTTTTCACTGTTATATTAAGGGAATCATCCAGTATGAAGGACTTTTTACTGGGCTACAACCACCAGTTCTCTCAAACAAAACATGTCTACACAAATGGGATTTAAAATTTAGGCATGATGCTTTAATATTGTTTTGTTCCAATATAGCTTTGTTTAAAAAAGTAACTAGAAGAATAATGTTTTTTCACTAAAACAGGATGCAACAGGAAGCTTTGTGTTGCCCTTCCGTCAAGTAATGTATGCCCCATATCCTACTACACATATAGATGTAGATATCAATACAGTGAAGCAGATGCCCCCTTGTCATGAACACATCTATAACCAACGACGATATATGAGATCCGAGCTGACAGCATTTTGGAGAGCTAATTCAGATGAAGAAATGTCTCAAGATCATATTATCCACACAGATGAGAGTTTCACACCTGATTTGTATGTACTCCTTTCTCGCATCTCTCAAAGTTACTTGATTTTGGGACAAGAGAGTGAAGTAATACAGAGTGTACTTTCTAATAGAGTACATGAGTTTTTTTTGCTTTTAAGAAGCTCCTTCAGCTCTGGTAGTTGCATTCATTTTGGAGGAATTTACCAGTTCCATCAGTAGTTTTGTTGCATTAAATATTACTGAAATTCATTTTCAGTGATACTTATGACTGTGTTAGGCTACTTTTGTTGCCTGTTTAAATAGGGCTATAACAAAGCTAAGTGTATTTGACAGGGCCCAATGGCTTTCCTGGATTTAGTTCATTTCATCTGAAGGTTTTGCGTTAAGATTCTGTATTAGCTTTAAAAATAGCAGGATTATAATTCACTAGAATTAGTGAATTCATTGAATTCACTTTTAATTTCTGCCAGATTGTAAACAGTAATGCTGTTGCTGTGTGCAACTGCTGGACGGTTAGCGTCCCTTCATGGCATTACCTCACATGTTTGTTTGCTTTCTTTTCTATAGAAATGTCTTTCAAGATATCCTGCATCGAGATACATTAGTAAAAGCCTTCCTGGATCAGGTAATCATTGCTTTTTCAGAAAGAACAAGAGCTGAAGTTCAGTATTTTGAGCCTTAGTAACAGATAATTTAACATCAATAGATAATTTGTTGGCTTGGTAGCTCTTTTTCATACTAGTGCTATGATTCTTCTCTGCATAACTAGAGAAAAATACTTGTGTGATTTGTAGTATTAGTGTAATACTGAAAATCCTTCTTACATATGAAAAACAAAACACATTTTCTATTGCTGTGCATTTTCTCAATTACAGTATTGAGAAAGCTACCTGACTGGGCTTAATTTCAGATCATTTTAAAAAGGAAAATAATACTTTGTCCAAACAGAATTGTAAAACAGCTTAATTTGTTGCATATGAGCAGCTAGAAAACTAAGAAAAATTGTTGAGCATATCTACAAATCTGCTGTTAATGTGCCTGCTTTGCTATAATTAAGGATATGTTACATGTGTATGCAAGGTTTCTTTATATTCCACATTCTTAAAATTATTCTTGAATTTCCAGAATTGGAAATTTCTTGAATTTCTACCTAATTTTTTGCTATAATTCTTAACAGATCTTCCATCTGAAGCCCGGCTTGTCTCTAAGGAGTACTTTCCTTGCACAATTTCTGCTAGTCCTTCACAGAAAAGCCTTAACTTTAATAAAATACATAGAAGATGACACGTAAGTGAACAGATAATAAAAAGCAGGCTTTGAGAAACTTCCTCTGTTCTTTTTTACAATATCCTTTTTTATTTTCTTTCAGGCAAAAAGGAAAAAAACCTTTTAAGTCTCTTCGTAGCTTAAAGATAGATCTTGATTTAACAGCAGAGGGCGATCTTAACATAATAATGGCTTTGGCTGAGAAGATTAAACCAGGTCTACATTCCTTTATCTTTGGGAGGCCGTTCTACACTAGCGTACAAGAACGTGATATGCTCATGACGTTTTAAAGTTCTCCACTGCTAATGTGTAATATTGCAGTCTTGCACGGCACAAAAAGAAATCCGTCAGTGTGACCACCACGCTTGTGACAATCATTGACCTGTTTGAGGATGGATCATTAGGAGCACAGTAACACTACAGTCTCTCCGAAGCAGGAGGGGTCTTGTTAGAGGGAATATCAACTTAGGTAGACAAGCATGATTTTAATGAATCCGTCTCTTCTGTGTGCTTTTTTTAACAGTAAAAGTAAATGTTACCAGAGGTTCCTTTGCCATATGAGCTTAGTAGATAAATTTGAACATGTTTTGGTGTACAATAAAGGGAAGCATCTTAATTTTCTTTCCCCAGAGACTTCCTTCAGGTGTGTGTCAGTTTTTCCCTGTTCTGCCGTGTCACTACTTTTAGTGTTTCCACAGAAAACAATACATACGTCCTCTCTAATCAGGGAGGTTGTGGAATAGGGGCCTTCCAAGAATTTCAGAGAGTTTTTAAAAGTGTTTGTTGTCGTACAAATCTGAAATATGTCGTCCCTCATCTCCCTTTTTAACGCTACTGGCTCCTTCATTTAGAGCATTTAATTTGGGATTTTTAATATACTACAAAGTGCTATTCTTGTGTGCAAACTGTTGACTATTAGTAGCTTAAATAGCAGCACTCTGCACGGGGGAACTGGGTCATTATTTAAGCAGCTTTGTGCATGTAAGTGCCAACCAGGATATTCTGTCACAGATTGTTGGGCCATCCTGCAGTGAACTGTTCAGTGATCCAGCCTAACTGAGCTCTTTCAAAACACAAAACAGAAAACTTGTGTCATTCAGCAGCAGTTGTCAGTCTTTCTGTCTGTAAACTGCTGCTGGTTTTTCCATTGTCAGTTAGAATAAGGTTCAGATTAAAGTATTAGACCTTCCCAAAGAACACCAAGGTGATAGCCAAACTAGAAGATAAAACAGTAATTTTTTTTTCACATTGCCGTTAATATATTTAGTAATCCTTAATTCAGAGATGAGCACAGCTTACACTGAAATCACTGGTACATCTGTACTGCATGTTGTTGTATTTCTTCTTTTTTTGGACAAACACAGGAATATAGTTGTGTCATGTTTTAGCGTAACCTCGTAACTCAATATTCATTGTGAAAGAGCTGCACTTGTGATTGGAGAAGCCACTGTTGCTTTATTGATTAAATTGTTTATAACACTCTTTGGGGAACAGGTTTCTGTTTTCAAGATAGCTTTCTAGTGTCCCTTTCATGCAGGGAGGCATAAAGGTTAACAAGTTAGATTCAGAACTCTTCCTGAAATGTCCAATACTCAGATTTTAAAAGCAATACAGTCCTTTATTTAGATGTCCAGAATTCCCTTACCTTTCCTGAAAGACAAAAGATTCACAATTACATATTTAGAGCTTCTGAAAGATGTGGAATTGAGCCGCAGCTGCACACCATTTTTGTGAATGAACGTCATCAGCGTTACCCGGTTGAATAAGTAATTACATGTTGTTGAGCTGTTTTTATGCTGTACGTGTATGTAGGACTCTTGCAATGAGCTCAGCGCTTCATCAAAAGAATTTGTCAGAATTATGCTGCTGTAAGTTACTTGTGCTGAGATTCTGTTTGTCTTCCTACCATTATTATTTCTTTCTGTGTTTTTAATCAATTGATCCATTAGAAAAGAGCCTGATTTTACTAAGTTTTTACTCTCATGTCTAAGATTGTGAAAAATTGTAATAAACACTGCTGAAACTTCTAATGTGGAAGTTGTGTTGAAGTCTAAAGAGCTTTAAATGTGCTGCTGAAATTAATCACTTTGGCTTGATAGGCATTGGAAACTTAACATTGACACTAGTAACTAGTAAAGCTCTTGTTTGTTTACTGAAGATGCTGTCACTTTTTGAAATTACTAAAAGCTGGAAACTTTCTCAATTGCTACTTTTGTTGCACAACTGTCACAAGTGCAGAATGTATCCTGAAGTAAATTATAAAATGCATCTGCATGTTGTGTGGTAAATCTTGCTCAGGAAACAAAGTATTCTAATAAAATTCATGCACAATTTTTGACTTTAATTGCTGCTGATTTTTTTCATAGAATTTCTGTTCTGTATCTCATAGAATTGTTATCTTTTATCCTTTGAAATAAAGAAGAAACCTTTTTCCTTCTTGTTAAATTAAAAATTATGCTGAGATGGTGAAACACAGACTGTCATTGATAGAAAGTCATATGTTACTTAGTTCCTCTGTTTCTGTTAAGGACTTACTCATTTCAAGCTGAGACCAGTGTGGCTTGCTATGCCTCTGACGTGCTCAAGTAAGAATGTAGCCTCTACTTTTAAAAAATTTTAATCCCACATGTGAGAATTTAGAAATGTTTTAAGGAGTTCCCTTATATGGAGCAGTCAGTGAATACCTTTCTTCGGGATTTTAGTTCCTTACAGTTAAAAGAATAGGACAAGTCTATTTCTTCCAGTTGGATTTGAAAGGGGAGTAGTGTTTTAGAGCATTTTTAGTAGCACATTTTCCCTGATCTTGATTCCTGGTCTTTGCATACCTGTAAAGGTAGCACAGAAAGACATCCACTGGATGTCTTACTTGTTAGGACCACAGAGGATGTTCCCAGTCTATGTATCAGTATGTCGTACTGTTGGTTTTATTCCAGAGCAAAACGGGTATTTTGGTAATATTCTTATCCCTGAGCCACCAGTATGATACACCAATACAGAGCGCCAGGACTTCTACGCTCCATTGTCTTCTGGGAAGAGGTGTTAGAAAGATTTCTCCTCCTGTCCTCCTATCTGTGAAGACAAAGGAAGATGGTCCAAAATATGAGGTCTGTCTCATACAGGCATGTTGCTCACCTCTATTGTCTAATCAGAGCCTACGAAGAATGTACTTTGTCCTCTCTCCAACAGTGAAGAGGCATAAACTATATGCATTAGTATGCAGAGCAGGTTTTCGCACACGGTTGTGTCGTTTACCTCTGTCCTGGCATAGAGCTACGCTCTAACCGTCACCTCCTGCTTGGGCAAAACAGCAAGGAAGCTTCATGGCAGCGTGTCTTTATTTACAAGGTTGTTCATATGGTACTTCGGTTAAAGGAAGTAATTATCGCGCTTCTCAAAGCCATGCTGTTCATATGCATGTCCAGAGGTTTCCAACATGGAAGACTTCAATTAAAGTTCAGAAGTATGAAAAAAGGACACAATCCTGACAACGACCATCAAGTAAGTCTGACTCCAGTTCTAACTGAAAGAATAGAGGTACCCTGCAGGAACGTCTATTCTTCGATTAGCATAGGGCAGCTTTTCAAAGCAGAAGATTAGTGGAAAGAGAAATTTCTACTTAAACAGCACGGAATGGCAACTGGTAATTGTTCCCTTCTTTTAGATGTTCCTCTCTTTATTGTCATGTAGAGGGCGGGAGGTCCCTGACGCTGGAAAAGGGCCAAAAGACAATCTGGGGAACTGCAGGTTGACCAGTTTCACTCAGGTGCCTGGGAAAATCATGGCATGTGTCCTGGAGCACATGTCTTGCCACATGATGGAGAAGAAGGTGATGGGGAGCTGTCAGCATAGCTTGACCAAGAGTAAATAGTGCTCCACCCACCTCATTGCTTTCCATGATAAAATGACTGGATTTGTGGACAAGTGGAGAACAGGGGATATCATTTACGTTGACTTCAGCAAGGCTTCCAGCACTCTCCCACGATGTCCTTGTAGCCAAGCTGGATGTTAGGCTCTGGGTGGGTGCCCCACCAGGGGGGTAAATACCTGGTTGGGCAGTCAGGCTCAGAGGTGGTGGTCACTGGGTCATATCTGCCTGGAGGCTGGTGCCCCGTGGGGTCCTGCAGGCTCTGCTCTGGGGCCTGTCCTGTTCAACATTTCTATCCGTGACCCGGGAAGGTGATCAAGTGCACCCTGTCAGGTGACGCCAGTCCTGGGGGGAGCAGTTGATATGCACGAGGGTATTGTGGTTTAACCTCAGCTGGCAACTGAGCACCACGCAGCTGCTCGCTCACTCCCCCCGCAGTGGGATGGGGGAGAGAATCGGAAGGGTAAAAGTGAGAAAACTCGTGGGTTGAGATAAAAACAGTTTAATAATTGAAATAAAGTAAAATAGTAATAATAATAATAATAATAGAATATACAAAGCAAGTGATGCACAGTGCAATTGCTCACCACCCGCCGACTGA